ACCCTACAGAGCACCCGGTTGGCCACTCTGTGGAACAGGATGGGCTCTTTTTGTAGCAGGAACTCCTTTGCATATTAGGCCACACCCCCTAATGTAGCCAATCCTCCCAAAGCTTACAGAGCTCTTCTTACAGGAGCTACTGTAAGCTCTTGGAGGATTGGCTACATTAGGGGTGTGTCGCTTAATATGCAAATGAGTACCTGCTACAAAAAGAGCCCTGGCTCGGCATCTTCTTGGGTTCATGGGTCCTCAGTTGGCCTTGCCTTTTGTGATGTCAGCAGAGAGCCCAAACTGATTGGATAGATAGTGTCATGATTTCATCTTCCTCACTGTGTAAACCACGTTTGGCTGAGAATTCACCATGCCTCTCAGTAGGGTTGCCAGCCTCCAGGCAAGGCCTGGAGACCTCCTGGGGTTACCGTTGATCTCCAGGTGACAGAGATCAGTTCTCCTGGAGGGGAACGGCAGCTTTGGAGGGTGTGGCATTCTACCCTCCTGAGGTCCCTCCCAAATCTCCAAATCTTCCCAACCCTATAACTCAGCACTGCTTTTGGTCTGGAAGTGGAAATAGAGCGTTTGGTGAAACTTTTGTGTTAACAAATATTCCTTGGTAATAACAGGATTATTGCAGTGTAAGCCTTTTCAGCGTCTCTTGAACCAGCCCATGTGCAAGGTGATTTTCCTGGTAACAAACATGTCGACACAGACTGTTGCCTTCCCTATGGAAGCTCTGTTGTGCAGATGCGGTACTATAGCGCTGTGATCTAAGTGTACCAGACCTGCCCACAGAAACTTGTGCTTCTGATGTAAGCTTGTATTTCAGACATCTGTCTACAGCAGCCCCTTAATCACCGGCAGGTCGCTTGTTTTCCTTTCGCACACAGCAGTACGAGGGCCAAAATTTCCCCCACTGTGGATTGGAAACTACAAAACAGCCTTTCCAAGATTGTAGAAAGCTGCCACCTAGAGCAGCCCCCGCATTGTGCTTAGCTTGCTAATTAAGATTTCGCTTATTGCCAAAAAAGCTAGAGGATTTTCTACCCAAAAAATATCTGCCCCTTCCAATTAAGGCTTGGGTGTGTGTGTGTCAAGACTGTGTGTGTCAAGACTTATTATGAAGGTGTCCAAAATACTCCAATGCCTGATTCATGTTCAGACAAAGGGCTCAGCTGCGCTGTTTGCTGTACGGCCATTCTGGTGTGGTATGGCTCCCATTACAGGCAGGAGAGATCAGATCCAGTATCTGTTGCGCTGTGTCAGGCGAGTTGCGGGACTGTGTTATTTGTCTGTATCCTAAGTTGCTATTTGAGAAGAGTAAGGATTATTAAGTGGCGTGATCAAATAAGAACAAATTATAACTTTATTTCTGCTTTCCAAACCTAACCCAAGTCTCTGCCCTGAATGTGCTGATAAACAAAGACGTTTTCTGCTTTGAAGATTTTGGGGGTGGCGGTGGGAGGCAAAGAGCAGTTCTTGTATGGTGCAGCTGGGTCTGTTGTCCCGCTCGAATTATTACAAGCAGGCCGCCTCTGTGTGGGAGCAACTTTTCCTTGCAAGTAAATAGATCCCTTGTCTTTTAGCTTAAAAAAAATTCTAAGCTTGAGTTAATTAAAAAGCTCTTATTTAGAGGGTCTCTGGGCTCCCAATCCCCCCCCCCGGTCTGAATTAAATAAGATCCTAATTAAAAATAGAAATTCAGCCTTAAGGTTGGCACATATTATGTGGATAGTCTTGAAATGTGTACCTGTTGTGTAATTGCTGCCCTTTCTGCAACGGATCACCTAGGAAACCTTTTCGAAGCAAGAACCATAGGCAGATGACGGACGGAAGGGTTACCCCCTGCTCTAAAATTGGAGCAGGAGGAGACTCTTTCAACATTCACTTAAAGAATATGCAGAGGAGAAATCTACCAATTTCCCATGCTAGGCAACACTATTTGTTGGCCGATAGCTTTTAGACCACCACATTCTGTCAACAGGAGAGCCTTCCTTGGTCTCTGACCGTGGCTATCCAGGTGGAATTTTGTTGACCACCATTAGGCAACGTATGGTGGGCATAGTAGGTCAGTTGTGTGAACAACCTGAGCCTTACGCAAGCTGATCTACACTTGGATAGATTCAGGTGGGTCGCCGTGTTGTTCTGAAGCAATAGAACAAAGTTTGAGTCCAGTGGCCCCTTTAAGACCATCAAAGTTTAATTCTGAGTATAAGCTTTTGTGTGCACGAAAGCTTATACCCAGAATTAAGCTTCATTGGTCTTAAAGGGGCTACTGGACTCAAATGTTCTTCTGTGCTTTGATAGTTGCCTCATGTAGGGAAACTGGGTTTTGTTTCTTGGTAGTGGAAAGTGGTGGTTGCAGATGATTTATGGCCACCATGTAGGGTTTTCAAGGCAAGACCCAGCCTCTGTGTAGCAACCCTAGAACTTCATTCCCAGGTCCAATTCCTACCATGAATCATAGCTCCTGGTAGATCTATAATTCATTAATTTACATATTTTAAAGCCAATTAACCTCATAACCATTACCATTTCTTGTAGCAATGAGTTCCATAGTTTAATTCAGGGGTCACTTCGTCGAAAAAGAGGTGCAGGAGCTCATTAGCACAACTCATTAGCATAACTTATTTGCATAGGCCACACACCCTGACATCACCGGAAGTGTATCAGAAGGCAACACCCACCGCTCAGGCTCCACTGGACTGTTTTGGATTGCTAGCTATTGGGGGGGAGGGGAACGTGCAGATCTGTCCTCGCAGAGGAGGGAGAGCTTGTACCTGAATAAAACTTGGTTTTAAAGGTGCCACTGGACTGTTTTGGACCGGGGGGGAGCTCTGCAACTTACCTGGCTGCTTCTTGCTCTGACTGAGGGCTGCTGGGAGCAGGGGGTGGGGCTTCTTGCATGTGCCCGCCCCCTGGGCTCTTTACCACCAGAGCTCCGCTCCTGTGCGCTCCTGCAGGAAATTACCCCTGGTTTAATTATACATTGTACCAACAAGATACTTCCTTTGGATCAGAAGCAGCCATCTTTTTTGCTAAATCCTTGCCAATTTCCCTGTTTATCACAGCTCCTGTCACACATGGTTTTTGTTCATGCAGTTTCCATGATCTTCACCATAGCCTTTTTGGTGGCCAAAGGGGACTTCCTCCTCCTTTTTTCCTCAATGGAACAGCTGGCCAGATCTGACCCTTTGTCTGTCCTGAACCTTTTCCCACTCATTTTCACGGCAAGATCCTCCTCCTGAGTTCTGAAAGTGATTTATTTACTCTTTTGACATGATTCTTTTCAGGTCCCTCTTTGCATGGAACTTCCTCATACTGAGTCAAAGCTTTGGTCCATCTACTTCAATATTACCAGATAATTTTGTTTCTTCTGTAAAGCTGCTTCAGTGTGTTTGGAAGATCTGAGCTGCTGGTACTGATGAAAGCCTTCTTCCTTATTTTGCCAGGAATTGCCTATCTTGGAGGGATCTGCAGTGCGAAAAGAAAATGCGTCCTTGCAGAAGACAATGGGCTGAATCTAGCGTTCACCATTGCACATGAACTGGGACACAAGTAAGGGCTCACAGTTTATTTACTTACTCTCACATATGCATATGAAACTGCCTTATACTGCATCAGACCCTTGGCCCATCAAGGTCAGTATTGTCTGCTCAGACTGGCAACAGCTCTCCAGGATCACAGGCGGGGGTCTTTCACATCATCAAGGTGCCTGGTCCTTTTGAACTGGAGATATCATGGATTGAACCTGGGACCTTCTGCATGCAAAGCAGAGGCTCTTCCACTGAGCCACAGCCCCCTTCCAACCTTTCTCCCCAATGGGAACCCAAAGCAGCTTACATTGTTCTGTTCTCCATTTTATCCTTTGAGGTAGGTGAGACTGAGAGTGTGACTAGGGGTGTGTGTGTATATGTATATGTATTTTTTGGGTATTTATTCAGCCAAATCAGATTTGCTAATCTGATTTGGCTACTGATCTAGCTGAGCCCGAATAAAAGCCGATATTATTTGGCTTTTATTCAGACTCAGCTTCACTTGCCAAAGCAGTGCGCGTTCACCCATGTTCCGGGTGAACTTGTGCTGATTCTAGGTTCCTCGTGCATGGCTTGACTTTAAACAAGTTGTGCTGCTGCTGTTGTGACTCTCTGAGTCACTTTAAATCCCTCCATCTCCGAATGGCACCACAATGGCAGCATGACTCCGGAGAGTGAGGGGGGGTTAAAATGCCTCCTCTTCCCGACTCGTGCCACAGATGCAGCATGCCTCCAAAAGTGAAGGGAAAGCAATTTGCCTTCCTTTCAGTGATGGAGGTGTGCTGCCAAGGCTGCGTGACTCCAGAGGGTGGGCTTTTTAAATGCTTCCTCTTCTTGAGTTGCAGGAAGCCATTTCAACCCTCCCTTTTGCTCCCCTCCTCCAGAGGGGAGGAGTGAAACAGAGGGGTTTAAAGGATTCCTCCAATTTAAATGGTCCCCGTAGGGTATAAATTCAGCAATACCAATTATTTCCTGAATCCCAATACAATACTGATACTGGGATTTGGGAATATCAGTATATACTAATATCTTTCGGGTTTTGTATACCCGAACCTGAAAGATACCAATTTTTTTGTGCACTCCCCTATGTGTGACTGGTTCAAAGGCCACCTGGCAAACTTCATGGCAGGATGGGGAATTGACCTTGGGTCTGCTGGAGCCTAGTCCGACATTCTAACCACTACACAATACTGGCTCTATGTCTGTACCTCTTTATGATTATTTCAGGAGTTCCTATCAAAACATTATCTAGAGTGAATCTAGAAGTAAGGTGAAACACCTGGAGAATTTTGAGAGAAACCATGAGAAGTTTAGGTAGCACCATCAACATTTCTCAGTGATGTTCTACCCATACAGATGGGCATGCAAGAAGGTGCCTTATACTGAATCAGACCTCAAGCAGGATGTGATGTGAATGATCTTTTAGTGACACCCTGGAGAGGTGCTGTTGGTCTGTGTAGTCAATACTTGATGGATGAATGATCTGAATTTGTAGAAGGCACCTTAAACAAGGGGCTGTGGTTCAGTCATAGAATGCATGCAGGAAGTCCCGGCTTCAATCCCCAGCAGCTCCAGTTAAAAAGATGAGGTAGCAGATTACGTGAAAGGCCTTGACTTGACACCACAGATCAGGGGTCCCCAAACTTTTTGACCATGTGGGCACCTCTGGAAGTCTGATATAGTTTGGCGGGTGCAGGCACAGAATGGCTGCCACAAAATGGCCGCTGCACGAGGCAGAGTTAGCCACAAGAGGATTTGCCACAGCTTGTGCTGTGCTGGCAGCCGCTGCCAAAGCGAGGTTTTTTAAAAATCTAGAAAGCCAATCAAATCTCCAATGGCCAATCATAAAGCTTGCTAGGCAAGAGTCCTGCCTGGTCCCACCCACTTTCTAAAAATACTTGGAGGATGCCAGAAAAGTTGTTGGTGGCCCAAGAGAGCCATTGTCAGTCGAAGCAGGTGAGGCTGACCTTAACAGACCAAAGATCTGTTTTGGTATAAGGCAGCCCAGTATGTCCAGATGTATCGACAACATGGAGAGGGTACAGTTGGGAGAAGCAAGGTTATATACAACCTCAGGATTTATTTTGATCGCCGATCAGAAATAGTTAAAAACTGAAGTCCTCAAGGAGGAAGCGGGTTTCGAAAAGGTGGCGTGAGGTCTTCTCCCGTCTTCTTACGAAGCTTGTCATGTTTTTTTCCCCCTCCACCCAAATGTCTCTCCATCTTTCTTTGGAAGCCCTGAGCCTTCTCCGAGGAGCCTTTAAAGGTCACCAAAAGAGGCCATGACTCGAGATACCATCTCAACCTCATGTGCTTGCAATAAGTCGTGCTTCAAAAAGGAAAAACAAAAGCATCTTGATCAAATCACTTAAAAAAAAAATAACCATTTCTTGCAGAGAAATTCTTGGCCACAAATGTACATAGCTCCTTACTGTTTGCGTGGCCATTATAATACATTACCTTTAATAACAAATATTTGCTTGCTAAAGGGAATCCAATAAACCGTTGTCAAGGTTTTGAGTCTGGTCCCGGTAATCGGGCAAGAGACATACGTGGCTTCTCAGTTCTTGACTTGAATGCTCGGGGACAGGCGCAGAAAATAAGGTCGGCTCCTGCCAAAACTTGCCAAGATGAAAACGCATGTCCTGTTCTCCCCCCCCCCTTTCCTTTGACACCAAAAGGCGGATGAGCCAAACTGAGAGCAGTTTCGGCAGCACTGAATGATGGGGAGGCCTTTGTTTTTATTCAAACCATATGCCAGGCTGTTAAATCTATTCTCAACCTTAACAAGGCATTAATCTGTGGATTGCCGTGTGAGGAAATCATTGTTACATGTTGAAAAGATGTTGAAAATGCTAGCACAGGGGTTCCTGGCTGCTGAGGCCCCAGTTGTACTAAAAGCGGACTGGTTTCGTATCGGTTTGACTGTCACGGGTCTCTTTCCGCCGCCTTACCCAACCGTTCTGAAAAAATGAAATATGATGAGCGGTGTTCCCTCTAAGCTGTGTAGTCTTGTGAGCAAAAATTCTACTTTGTGAGCTACTGGCATTAAAGCTGTGAGTGAGCCATTTGGCTCCTGCATAAATCAGTTTGCTCTGGAGCCATCCTTTCCTGAGCCAAGACAAAAATGTGTGAGCCGGAGGCTAAAAAACTGTGAGCTAGCTCACACTCACTCAGCTTAGAGGGAACACTGATTATGAGGGCGCTGCGTATTCTCTGTTGGAGATGATGGGCTCCCTCTCTCAGTCACAGCACCCTAGGGAGATGGCATGGCTGGTTCCAGCTGTTGAGAGGACCTTTGGCAACTCTGCCTAGAAGGCCCCATCACTACCCGGTTTTGTGTGTGTGTGTGTAGGTAGGCACAGTTAATAAGGAGAGTGAGGCCTGCAAACAAAGAGAACATCTCATGGTACATGGTGCCTTTAGAGGGAACTCTTGGGCACAAACTCACTTCATGGAAACACCCAGGCTGGTGGGAATGAACGGTGTCTCTAGAGTGGCCAACCCAACTGCAGCAAATGCTGGGAGATTTGGGGGGGCGGTGCCTTGGGGAGTGTGGAGTTGGGACCTTCAGTTGGTAAACCACTTCCTCCATGCCACTCTAGGAGTTCTCCCAGTCTCTGTTGTCTCTGGGGAAGGTCCTACAGCAACATGGAGGATGTGGGGTCACTTCCGCATAAAGGGTCGCCGGCCGTGATGTCACTTCCAGATGACGCTCTAGGAATTGCCCCAGTCTCTGTAGGCTTTTCCATAGAGATCTGGGTAATTATTAGAGCATCACCATCGACACTGTCACCCTCCCCCCCCTTTTCCCCTCCAACTGCTAAAACTAGTGAGGTTGGGAGACTGGACAAGTGGTTGCCCGCTGCCCTAGGTGTCTCTGATATGGCTGGCCTGATGCCAAAAAAGTAGCCAAAATGGTAGTTCCAATGTTCAGTTCGTGGTTCCTTGACCAGGCCTAGGCCTCAGCACTGCCTCATGAAGCTAGCCGCTGGCACTGGGCATGGGAGAGGGAGTTATTAGTAACCTTGTGCATGATTGTAGTGCATTTATGCCCTACAGCTCCATGGGAAGGACACATAGCAGGATACATATTGTGTCTGGTGACTAGAGGACATCCTCTCTCACCCAGGCCCAGCTTCCAAGTTGTTTGTCAAATGGACAAGCTACCCATGCGAGCATTCCACAGGAATCTTCTGGTAGAGTCTCCTGGTATGGATTGAGAAGGTAAAACACAGTTGCTTCTTGAGAGAAAACAAATGAAGTCTGTTCAGACTGAAATGTTCAGTTTTGGCGTTCTGCTCTTACAGGGTGGAAAAAGTGAATGCGCTTCCTAACTGATATGTTGGATTTCTAAACCTTCCATTCGTGTTCCTTGGAGTTACTGCAAAAACAGTTCTGCAGACAGATATTTTATTAAAAAAACAAATTCAGGCACGTTTAGTTCTAATGAAAGAATCTATTAGCGAGTTGGTTAATACGGTCATTAAATGTATGTATGATATTTTATTTTATTAAATGTTTATACTGTGCTTTTCTCTCCCATGGGGGACCCAAAGCAGTTCACAACATCATTCTTTCCTCCTCCGTTTTATTCTCATTTTCTTCTTGCGAGGTCAGTTAGGCTGAGAGTACGAAACTGGCCCAAGGTCGCCCAGTAAGCTTCCGTGACAGAGTGGGTCTCCCACGTCTAACCCAACACTCTAACCACTACACAGCTTTCCCAGAATTTAGCAGGTCCACATCTGATCAGTGTGTGGGTGCAAGACCTCCTGGGGACCCTATGTGCGGGATGTAACTAACTAAATGAGGAATATGCGATTGGATCCTAAATGATCAAAATTATACCTGGAAATGTGGTTCTTTGCAACTTCTGTAGGGCACCTCTTTCTCTGCTGAACTTCTTTTTCATGGGCCGTGGTCACACGGACCTCTTACCGCGCTAGTTTTCCCGCAGTTCTTCTCTCCGTGACATTTTATATCGCTTGGAGGTGGTCAGACGGTCCCTCTGTCTTCCGCTTC